TTTCTTAAGCGTTGTAGCTATATAATTTCAAACATCCTCAAGAGCTATAACACATCTGCAGCAGAACTGGATATGAAGACAAAATTGCAGGACAGGAACACTTTAATTGTCCACTAATCTTCAGATTTCCTGCTATGTTTTAAAAAACTTTATTTGTGGAAACCTTTAGCGTGGCGGACAGCTGGCCGCCTTAGGCGGCTAGTTACAAAATATTAGGAGAAATTTGTATTCATAATTTTTTCAAAACGTGAGTTAAAACTATGATTATAAGTTATTTAAGTAGAAAAAAGTAAAATAGAGGAAAAGAACAATTTTTGAAATGATGATTTTAAAAATAGCACGTTTTTCGAATCTTTTGACAATTTTTTATTTTAGTTTTTGTTTAACAAAACATGGCATATCGAACATTTTCCTGATATAGCAATATTTCTTTGAACTGTGCAGATGTTGAGAACTTATATAAACAACTTTTTAAGCATATATTTTCAACTTTTTAAAACAAAAGGGTAACTTTCTTTAAGTTAGTGCACAAGAATAACTTTCACTGTCGAAATAAAATTGTATGTCCATAGTTTTTTGTTCATTTAAAAAAAAACAATCTGTTGTGTTTTTTTGCTGTGCACACATACGCATTTACTTTTCATTACTCGAATAAATAAGAAACAATAAAAAAAAGAAAATTAGTAATTTAATTTTTTTCGTAAACAATAGTATTCTTAGTAAATAGTCAGCTGTTCTGCATCGAATGATATTGTGTGTGATCAGTAGAATATTTTTAATTTCTTAACAAGATTTAATTCTCAGATAGCTGGCAACAATTCTAAGTTTTCTTTCAATAAGAACTTAGCAATACTTTAAAAAGTAATTTTATTTTAAAGGAAAACATAAATAATGAACTAAAACTATTGATTAGTATATTATTGGAAAATAATATACACCGAAGAGTCATTACATTATGACCACCCTGCTTATAAAACGTAGAACCACCATTAGCCCTCAAAACTGCTAGCACCCGCCGTGGCAGTGATTCCACAAGGTGCTGATAGGTAGTTTGAGGTATCTGGTTCCAAGCGCTCACCAACTGGTTCTGCAATTCCCTCACATTGCGAGGGGGTAGCGTGGTAGCACGAATTTGGTTTTCCAAGTAGGACCACAAAGGCTCTATTGGATTAAGGTCTGGTGAATTTGGGGGCCAATCCATGACGATTCGACCCTTATGACATGGTGCATTATCCTGCTGGTAAACACCATCCCCCGCAGGAAAAACTGTTGCCATGAATGGGTGAACCTGGTCTGCAACTATGTTCAAGTAGCTTACAGACGTCAGGGATTGTCCTATGAGGATTATGGGTCCCAATGTGCCCCATGTAAACATTGTTTCTGGGCGAGAAACCATGAAAACCTGGGCAAGCCCATTGTTATAGATGGAGGGTGTTCATAATATAATGGATCTTTCTTGTATATGGTAGAATAAAAAATAAGATTTTGCATTAAAATTCAATTAAAAAGTTAGAAAAATAATTCTGCGAAGCGCGCAGATAGGTAATTTACAAATTTATTTTAAGGTTAAGGCGATATATATGATGTAAAGAAGTTTTATGATCATTAAAAATGCTGACTACGTATTTTTATTAATATTCATAAAATATATATTCAAGAAATTGATAAATATATTATTCCAAATCCATGCATACGCGTGTATATTATTGAAATTGTATCAGTTATTGAAAAACAAAATCAAAAAATAAAAAATAATCACATTAAATAAGCACAATCTGGTGTATAATCATATACTATCAGAAGCACGCTTTTCTGAAACTAGACATTCCTTGAATAAAGTATTTTTTATTCAAAATGTTTTATTCAAGTTTCTTTACTAAATTGCAAAAAAATTATTAAACGACTAAAAAAGAAACATCGTATTTTAAGGTTTGAAAGAAATTAAAATAAAAAGATTACCAAACGATTATTAACGAAAAAAATATGAATGAAATTTTACGCTACGCGCGCGAAGTCAAGTTTCTCGCAAGTTTATCACATTTTAATATTAATCGCCCCATTTGAGTATTTTTTCATTATCGCCAAATTATTTTTTTAAAAATAATTAATTTTAATTTTTCTCAACTCATAATAAATAAAAAAAGTTGAAACTTTAGATTTTTCAATTGAAAAATATGTAGATTAATATGGTACAAAAAAATTCCTACCTTATAATTCAAAAATTTTTCATTCTCAATTTGATTAATTAATAAAAAAAAATAATTAATTATTAAAAATTATTTTCTTCATGAAATTATCTTTGGGTCAATGAGTTTTATGAGTGGGTGTGATTTTTTTTTGAATGGCTTAATTAGCTTTTAAAATATGACTAAAAACGCAAAAAGTGAAATTAACATTAAGGGGTCCAAACTTTGAATCGCTCTCCTGCCCAAACTATGGGGGCCACATTTCCCAGATTGCGGCTACTCCCTATATTTTGAAGATTAAGAATCCAAATATGTAAAAAAAAATAGATGTTTATTCAGAGAAAGTACGTTTTTGTGTCTGGTTTCGTAACTTAATTAATAATTAGCACTAATTAATTAGCATGTTTGAGATCATCCCCAGAAACCATTAAGATTGACACTTAGTTCGTGAAAATCCGATCATTAGAGCGAAAGTTATTCAGGGTGATATCTTTTTTTTTTTTTTGCGGACTGTACACATCAAATTTCATTAAAATCGGTCCAGTTGCTCTAGAAATAATTGTCTGCAAATTCTCTTAATTTCTTACACAAGTGATTCATATTCTTATAAAAAATCTTCAAGCATGATATTTCTTTTTTTCAGCTCAGAAAAAGAACTATGAATGACTGTACACCAAAAATGCTTGAAGATCCTTCTCTGTTTTATCGGTTTATGAAAGGTGAGTTATTTACCTCTTCTGAATACCAAAGAAACGGAGTGATATTGAGTAATATGCCTCAAAATCCCTAAATTTTCACCAACAATATATAACTAGCTGTACCATATGATTGTTGCAACGCCTCTGGACTAAATTATATTTAAAGGAATCTAGGCATATCAAAATGAAAGTAGAGTAAATAATTTTAATGCGGTTCATATATTAAGAATTTCCAAGTGCTTTTCAATGGCTATTCAAGTGCTTTTAGGTAAACAATATTTTTTGCCTTTCAGCTCGGAGCACACGCGAACAAATAAGGTCTTCCGACGCATAGAGCTGTCCATGGGATAAATACTTAAAAAAAAAAAAATACTTTTCAAAATACTAATTCGGTGGTACCACTTCAAGCCACAAAAACTATTCACGTTGATTTTACTTGCGCTCACCTGACTTAAGGACCAAATATTAAAATAAAATGTGCTATGAAATCTTAGTGAAACGCAGTTTTTATTAATTAGAGCTGTAAACTAAAATAAGAATCGCCTGCAATTTAAATGCGCAATGTTATTCCGAAAGAAAAATTCGTTTTACTCTCATTTTTTTGGGAAAGTTTACTGTAGAATAAGCTATTATTATTTTAAATTGAGTTCGCACAATTCAATCTTTAAATGAACGTCTCGAGTGGGTTAGCGAATCAGGTTCGACGCACACGCGTGACGTCGCTTGCAGGTATCCAATTAAATCTGATCCTAAAATGAATTCATTACCAGATTAATAATGTGGAGGTTGGTGTTAGGTATAAGTTGAAATGACTACGATTTAGTAATAGACAAATTTAATAATAAAAAATAACAAGAGATATGAAACAACCGCTCCATCTGAGCGTTTTGGCTGAAGTGTTACAAAAGTAGGGTGGCGCTGCTGCAGTGGAGTTTGGATTCCCACATTAAATTAATAGTGAATATCAAATTTTCGTATATTTATAATATTATGTGTGTTTCTTTCAAGCTGTTTTCATTCTTTTATCTCACAGTTATTCTGTTCATGTTTTTATAGGCTGCAGTTTTTGTCTCAAGAATGCAGAAACTATGCTCAGAAAGGTTTGTGTGTTTTTTAAAACTATATTTAACACGGTTGCCAACTTTATTATATCCTTTTAAGTTCTCATATTATCTAAAAAAACATTTACATAACTGTTTGCGGTGCATAAAAATAATATTCTTTAATCTCTAAACCAGTTTTATATAAATTGAAAGGAAGGTTTTGGACTGATAATGTGACTTGACGTATAACTCTTGACTCTGAACTCTACCTTTTCACGGTGTTTCGCATTCACTGATCTTAATATATAATTTTAGAATCGGTGACTGAAATGAAATTAAACAAGCATGCGAAGAGTCACAAATTAACAAAGTGAAGAAGAAACAAAAATATTTTTGAAATCTGTCAAATTACTTTTTGAATAGTTAGTATCAAAACAACAAAAGCAGTTTGATTACCTGATGAAATTGAAATGTGTTTCTAGAAATCACGCTTCATTTCTTTACTATCTTAATCTTAATATTTATTATTATTTACCTATTATTTATATTTAATCTTGATATTTACTCTTAAATATTTATTTGGGATACTAAATGCTGCGAATATTTTTTGGTGTCATTTTATTCTATTTAAAAGCCTACAAGAAGATTCAAAAGCGTGTACAAACTTAAAGGGAGGTTTGGAACGATATCTTAATTAAGAATTGCATAAAAACCTATGTCTGGAAATGGCATTGTTCATCGTTAGGGGTGTTTTCCTATAACTGTCTGACTGTTCACGCCCTTAATCAATTCTTTTATTTATCTATATTATCCTAATTGCATGCTAATTTTATACCTTATTTTCGAAAACTGATTTAAAATAGACCAAGATTTAACTATTTTATTTTCGTTTTTTGATCTGCCGGCTTACTAGCACAACTCGCTAATTTAAATGCAGTAAATTACGATAAAACAGTTATTTCTGGCCTATATGTAGAAAATTTACTGCAATAATTAGAAAACATAAAATTATGTTGAGATAATATAGGTAAAATTTCAACTATGGAATATTATTACAAGACGCAGTGATATAGAATTTTAAATTTAAAATTTTATTTTTTAACAAATATTGAAGATTGAAGTGAAAAATAATACGTTATTTAATATATGCGTTATGTATAGGTAAATACAATACATGGTTAAAAGGTGGTAAATAAATAAGAGAAATTTCCATATTCGAACTTCTTACTTTTCGAACCCGAAAAAAATTTATCCAGGTTTAATGTAACAATATTATTTTGTTCATAAAAATAATCTTTTTATAGGGAGATTTCGCACTTTTATGTTAGCTTCGTAGGCTCCCGTGCATAAGATTCGCTCGCGTTTATTTTAGATGCTGCGTATCTTTACATTATGTTGGCGTGATTAACGCTATACATAGACAAAACTACAAGTTATAGCTGTTGTTTTCTGTTTAAGCCTATCTTTCAACTTTAAACATGGACATGAAATGCGAATTTGAAGAAATATATTGATGAGAAATGAATCGTGGTTGGTGAACGAAGAAATCGTCCATTGTAAATGTTTGTTCAGACTCAGTAGTCTAAGTTTAAACAATTTTCCACTACGTTAGCGTTTTCAACTTACGGATTTTTGCGAAATTTCTTATCGTCCCTTACGTAAGGGCTGGAATAGTTAAGTGGAAAATACTAAGCAAGCGTAATGAAAAAATCTTCTTTGAACTTACAAATAACTTTTATTAAGCAAGAAAAAAACACGACTTAAACATTACATAACTTTTTAAAAAGAAAGATAATCCACGAAATTTTTCTACTCTTCACAACATAAAACAGCTATAGTCGCTCCATATATATATATATACATATGGAACATTTTCTTCTTCTTCTTCGATCAAATGTTTTTTTAATTTTATTATATTCGATTCAAGCTATAAGCAATATTTTACATCTTCGCGATTTTTGTTAACTGTTTTATTATTGTACTTTTAAACCTAAACCGCGTTTTAATTCACGCCGGTAAGTTTGATTTCCTTTTACATTTTTCTTTTATTTCATGATTTTTTACAACA